TGGCGATTAGGAAATCGCAACGTCTCAAATCGCGATTTCGATTCGATTTCGATTAATCGCACAGCCCTACTTAATGCCTGTTTTCATTTGAAGCATGCTGTTTGAAAATATAGACTGTGTGTGTGTGTGTGTGTGTGTGTGTGTGTGTGTGTGTGTGTGTGTGTGTGTGTGTGTGTGTGTGGGTGCAGTGGGTTTTGACCCATAGATGTCAGTTGCAACACACCCGTCTTAACGCCAGGAATTCTTTCTCCGTCCTCTGAGCTCACCTGCCAAACTCTACAAAGGCTGCTGTCTGATTGTTTATACATACTTGGGATATGGATTGCTCCTTGACTGTGGAACATGTCAAAGCATGTTTGTTTAGCGTAACATGCGTGCTGCAATGAGTTTGAGCAGGTGGACAAGTAGAAAGTGCAAGCACATGGACATGTGCTTTATAGCCGCTCTCCATTTATGAACTGAGCCGGGTTTTTTTTCTCGTCTTCTTCCTCTCTTCCACCACTTCAAGGGTCTCCTCCCTTCATATGTCTCTGCTGTGCCCCTTGAGTGCCAGGCTTTCACAGGCGTCTGTGCATACATTATCTTCTGCCACTCGTTATCTCAACTGCCATCTCTCACCGCTCAGTCGACTCTAAACTTGTGTGTGTGTGTGTTCTAGTGTTCTACTTCATAGTTAATCATTCTCTAAACAGTCAGCAGGTCATATGTGCACTCACACATGCTGTAGGCAAATCTGATGGAGACCTAGTGAGCTGCCTTACCTAGACGACGTTTAGAGATATAGAAGATCTGGAATGGCATATCTTGTTTGATCTAAATTGTAAGGCAGTACGCAGAAGGTTACCCTAGAATGCACTGCATTGCATTCTTCTTTGCTGTGCATTAGGGAAAAACCATGTAAGATATAGGACTGAGTGAAGAAAATATTATTTGTTTATTCATTACTAAATGGTATTTCAAGAAAATAGATCTGTAAATTTAAATGTCTTGTAGGAATTTAAAAATGACAACTAACAGTCTCTACTTGGAGCCATTCAGGGATGGATGGATGGATGGATGGATATATGGGTGGGTGGGTGGGTGGATGCATAGATGGATGGATAGCTAGATGGATGGAGGGTTGGATAGGTGGATGGATGGATGGATGGAAGGATAGATAGGTAGGTGGATGGATATATGGGTGGGTGGGTGGATGCATAGATGGTTGATAGGTAGGTGGATGGATGGATGGGTGGGTGGGTGTTTGCAGAGATGGATGGATAGCTAGACGGATGAATGGATGGATGGAGGGTTGGATAGGTGGATGGATGGATAGGTACGTGGATAAATATGGGTGGGTGGATGCATAGATGGATATAGCTAGATGGGTGGATAGATGGATGGATGGAGGAATGGATAGATGAATGGATAGGTAGATGATGGATGGATAGATATATGGGTGGGTTGATGTGTGAATGATAGATGTGTGGATGGATAGGTAGGTAGGTGGATGCATGGATGGATGGATAGGTAGGTGAATGGATATATGTATGATTGGATGGATGGATGGATAGCCAGATGGGTGGATTGATGGATCAGTAAATATATAGATGGAAGTATAGGTAGGTGAGTAGGTGGATGGATGCATGGATGGATGGATAGGTAGGTGGGTGGATACATAGATGGATGGATAGCTAGATTGGTGGATGGATCAGTAGATGGATGGATGGAAGTATGGATAGATGGGTGGATGGATGGATGGATGGGTGGGTATGTAGGTAGGTAGGTGGATGGATGGATAAGTAGATGGATGGATAGATGGACCGATAAAGAGATATATGGATAGATGGATGGATGAGAGAAACTGAAATTGAGAAATTGTAGAGAAATTGAAGCTTGTTAAAGCTATATTCTATCTAGTAATTGCAAGTCTTAAAAACATGTGAGTGGTACAAAGAAGTCAGGATCTTGTAATTACTGTAATTCTGACATTATTTAAATGCAGTATTATTGTGGTTCGCATGAGTAGGGCTGTTTGCTGCCTGTGCAGTCCCACTCAAATATGAGGTTAAGTTTTAGTTAGGATGCTCCCTTAGAAGGTAACAGGTCTCAGTAGGCAGTGAGGGACCTGTTGTAGCCTGTGGTACAAACACCACATAATGTGCCTTCTCAAACAAGCATTGAACAACACCAACACCTCTTCATCACAGTCACACACACACACACAGATAAAGCCCACACAGACCCATTAAGCCCTGGTCAGAAATGCTTCTGTGGGAATTAATGTTGTCACATCCTGGCTGCTACAGGTGAGGTGAGATTATTCTAACGTAGGGCTGGACAATAATTCAATATCAATATGTATCGCGATATAATTTTTTTCAATAACGGTGATATGATTTTTAAACACATTTCCGATATTTCGA